GAATACTATGCAACCCTAAAGAATAACCTTGTTGTTGTCGTTGTTATGTGCCATTGAGTTGGACCCAATGCATAGTGACCCCTCCTTGGGTTTCCGAGGCAGTACACTACGGAAGTAGATTGCCCCATCTTCCTTCCAAGGAGTGGCTGGTGGGTTTGAACTGCCAGCCTTCTGGTTAGCAATCAAGTGCTTTAGGCACTACGCTACTTGAGCTCCCAAGAATAACCTAGATTCTGCAAAACACCGCATAACGTGGATGAACTTGCAGGACATTATGCTGAGTAAAATAAGTCAATCACAGAAGGACAATATGTATCAGTCTGTTATTGTAAAAGTCAAGGAAAGGTTTATCTATGGAAGGAAATTTTCTTTGTTGGTTACCAGGGGTGGGAGGGGAGTGGAGGGAACACTGTTAGGTAGGTAGAGATAAGAATTGATTTGGGTGAAGAAAAGGACAATGTATCAAATGTGAGTGATCAATATTGTGGCATTGAGGAAGAGGACGACAGAGAGAGGTACATGGGACAATAAAAATGAACCCTTATGCACATACAGTACTGCATTGTTAGTGAAGGCAAACATGGGTATATGGGTGGATGGATGGGTGGACAGGCTGAACTATTAGATAGTTCTAGGAAATCTGGTAGCGTAGTGCCAAAGGCACTGGTTTGAACCGCCAGCCACTCTTCGGAAGGAAGGTTGGGCAATCCTACTTCCGTAGTGATACCACCTCAGAAACCCAAGGTGGGGTCACTATGAGTCGGGTCTGGCTCGATGGCATATAATAACAACAACAAAAATGGAGTGGGGAGTGTACCCAAGACTATATATATGGTTGACAGACAATGGTCCTATAAGTGTATTTGTATGATCTGAATTCCCAGGTAGTAGAGCTGACAAGGGACAAAGTTGTAGCCTCTTCTTGGCCACAGCCAGCTACCCAGAGGGTCAGAGTAGTTGAACTGTGGGCTCGGGACCACAGCCACAGGGGACATCAAGCTCAACTGGCATAACATACTACACAAAACATTGTTCCACCTCCTACTTTGGCGTACTCGACTGAGATCTTAAAAGCTTTCAAGAAGTCATCTAGATGCAAAGATGGGTCTCTCCTCATCCAGAGCAAAGAAGAATGAAGAAAACCAAAGATTCATGGAAAGAATTAGTCCTAGCAACTGGTACACCATGAGATCCTCAGCCTATATGACTATGAGACCAGAAGAACTAGATAGTGCCTGGCTACCACTGTCAACCACTCGCAGGGGATCTATGTAGGAGATCCTGGATAGAGAGGGAGAACAATGTGGAACAAAACTCAAAATCATTTGGGAAAAAAAAGGGGGTGGGGACCAGGTTTGCTGGTCTGATAGAGCCTGGTGGAACCACTGAGACTATGGCCCCTAGCTGCCCTTCAGGTCTGGAATTGAACCCATACCTGTGGCTTCCAGCCAAACAAAAGACAGGTATATGAGTTGAACATTTACTTGAAGTAGATACACTCCTTGGAGAGAGCAATCGCGAGAGAAAGATGGGCTGTTTATGCACAGGGAGACAGTTTAGGGGGCAGGAGTGCATAGAGGGATGGACACTGGGAAGAGGTAACCCTTGGAAGGAAGTGGGAGGGGAGCTGTATCATTGTGGTAAATTGTAGTCAATGTCATGAGCAAAGAGTATATGGAAAGTGAATTTGCTCTGTCAATTTTCCCAAAATCACAATTAAAAGAAAAAAAAAGAGTTAAGTGACTGTACTGCATAAAATTGATCCTATTACTTGCATTTTCTCTGTGAGTTAAGATGTTTGTGCTTACTCTCCCAGCATATTACAGACAAGATTGATCTGGCACGTTTTGATGATGATACTTGAGGACATGTCTGAATAGAACACTTTCTTGCCTTGGTCTCTGGAGATATTAGTGTCTGTGTTCACTTTCTGCCATGTTCCAAGAACGTTCTGTAAGATGAGGGCTTTTTAAGATGAGCAATGTTTTCTGTATGTGTCTGATGGCACAGAGTCAATGTTTAAATGAGAAATTTCTGTTGTTTCCTCCCCCAATATCTTGCCTCAACCCCTCCTTTGCATGGTTTCTCTTATTGAGAGGAACAGAGAAGGAAGAGTGTGGCATCCTACGAAAGGCAGTTAGGTATGAAAAACCACCATGTTCGTGCCAGCTAGCTCCTTTAGCACACACAGCAGTGGTGGTGTTGCAGATGTTTCTAAATGCCTTTCTTCATTTCTGATGCAAGAGGAAATAGCCGTCTGGCAATAGAAGCGGAGTCTATAAAGGGAAAGAGTCCCTGGGTGGTGCAACCCAAAGTTTGGCAGCTCTAGTTCACCCAGAGTGCCAGAAGAAAGACCTGCCACTCCACTTCTGAAAACTCATCCACTGAAACGCCGGTGGACACAGCTCTCCACTGCGGTCCAGGCGGTCGAGTGCACTTGACAACAACTGGCTTGGCTTTTACTGGTTTCTGGCGGGGAAGTCCAAGCTCAGGAAGCCATGGTTGTCAAAGTGTAAACACAAGCTGATTGGAGGCATAAAAAGAAAGATGGAAAGGAAGGAGGGAGGAAGGAGGAGAGGAAGAAAGGCACAGAGAAGAGAGAAGGGGGAAGGAGAGGAGGGCAGGGAAGGGAAGGGGAGGGGAAGAGCGAAGTGAAGTAGTATTTTTAACAACAACAAAAACTGATTTTCTGGGGCATGTCTTCTGCAGGAGGCAGCGTGCCTGGAGGCAGAGCTCAGAGATGCTGAGGCTAACTTCCTCCCGCTCGGCTGTCACACAGGCCCCCTGCCCAGGCCTGCGGACTCTCTCTGGGTTGGCACTTCAGGAAGTGAAGATTGTTCGTCACTCTCGCAGCAGGTGGACTCAGGTTCTGCGGAGCCTGAAGCCTGGCCAGTGCGGGGTTTCATTATGACAAAGAAGACAAACCACCGAAACAAAACTAGTGCTGCGCCTTGGAAGGAGGCCTGCTCATGAGAGAGGCCCTGAAGCTTCACTGTCTGCCTTTCTGCTGCTGAGTCTGAAAAGTATTGGCTCTGTTCCCGGTAAACTAGTGCCCACACTACCAAACACCTAGTGACCTCAAAAGAAGCTCTGGTAGCATAGTGGCTAAGGCACTTGACTGCTAACCAGAAGACTGGCGGTTCAAACCTAACAGCCACTCCTTGGAAGGAAGATTGGGCAATCTACCTCTGTAGTGACACTGCCTCGGAAACCCAAGGAGGGGTCGCTATGAGTCGAGTCTGACTTGACGGCACATAACAACAACAAATGACCTCGACTGTCTTAGGTCTCTAATGCTGCTACACCAGCAACACCACAAGTGGGTGGCTTTCACAAACTGAAACTTAATCTCTCACAGTTTCGGAGGCCAGAAGTCTGAATTCTAGTGCCAGCTCTGAGGGAAGCTTTCACTCTCTTGTCTTCTGGTTCTAGGAGGTTCCCAGCGCAGGGACCCCAGGTCCAAAGGACATGCTCCATGCCCAGCTCTTCTTCCTTGGTGGTAGTAACTTCTCTTCTTCCTTCTCTTTCCTTTTACCTCTTGTAAGATAAAAGGTGTTGCAGGCCAGGTGCCAGGGAAACTTCATTTACATAGGATCAGGGTTATGAGGAGATTAAGGGCATTGCACTTGCATCCCACCCTAATGTTTTTTTTTTTTTCACAACTGATTGGCTTAGTACATCAGATCACATCGAGGGGGGTGCTAATGTAACTGCCAAGCCACTGAGAAGCACAGCCCAGCCTAGTTTACACATATTTTGGGAGGATCTCTGGTAGCGTAGTGCCTAAGGCACTTGACTGCTAACCAGAAGGCTGGCAGTTCAATCCCACCAGCCACTCCTCGGAAGGAAGGTGACAATCTACTTTCGTAGTGATATTCCTCAGAAACCCAAGAAAGGGTCGCTATGAGTTGGATCCGACTTGAAGGCACATAACAACAACAACAACAATAATTCAATCTATGATATCGACCCCACATTGATTCAACTAATACCACTGTAGCTCTATCTTGCTATTTCTGGGGATATGTGAGGATTATAAGAACTAGTGACCACTATTGAAAAATTATAAAATAATTGAGAAGATAGGAGTTATATATATGAAATATACAGACTGCTGGCGTCATGTATTTTCAAACATTAATTATTATTATTATTTATTTTATTTTATTTTTTTTTAGAAATGTGGCAGATCAAGAAAATAGAAAGATCTATTATTGTCAAATCTGTGATTCACAGGCCAGGAGCCCTAGTGGCACAATGGTTAAGTGATTGGCTGCTAGCCAAAAGGTCAGCAGTTCAAACCCAACAGAAGAGTCCATGGGGAAAATACCTGGTGATCTGCTCCCACAAAGATTACAGCCAATTTGTACCAGAAATATCCCTTAGTTTCTTAAGGGAAGTTCTTACATCTTAAAACCCACAGTATTTTAGCTTCACAAGTAAAGAATGCGTGCCTCAGCATTGCGTTCTTTGAAGAGCCATTTATATGGAATACGAACAACAACAGCAACTCAAAAGATTAGAGGGGAGCCTTAGGGGCAGGGAGTTTATGTCTATAAAGGAGAAAAAACTCAGAATAGGAGGGGAGAATGGTTTCATAACGCGACAGATACCATCCATGTCACTGAGTGGTACGTGTAGGAACAACTGACCTGGTGGGTGTTCTGCTGCATACACTCTCAACAACAACAAAAGAAAATAGAAACATAAAGAGAGATTATAGCCAAGAAAGCATTATGGGGCAGTTCTAATCTGTCTTATAGGGTCACTACGAGTTACAACCAACTCAATGGTAATGAGTTTGATAATGAAAAGGCTGGCGATTTAAAGAAATATTAAATACTGGAATATAGTAACTGCCAGTGTTATTAAATAAACTCAACTCCAAAAATAAAACTTGTGAAAAAACCATCGTATTAAATAGCTAAAACAACTGAAACCAATCCACAGTGGTTGGCCTTCCCCATTTTGACCCCCAAAGGCCTCTGCAGTCCACTCACCGTGGGCCACGGTCAGCCTCATCGCGAAGGCCTCCTCCTCCCCTGTGCTGGCCCTGAAGCAGCAGCGGTAGAGGCCGGAGTCCGAGGAGGTTAAGTGGGGGATGCCAATGAAGCTCCCTCTCATTCCTTGGCTGCAGTTGGTCAGTATCTGTCGTTGGTACCTTGAAGCATAACTTCTCCCCTGGGACAAGTTGCAGAAAGTTAGCAGGTCAATCTGATGGGGCTGGATCTTCTCCCACGTAACCAGTTGCATTGGCTGCTTGCTCTGATACTGACAGGTGAGTGTGATGTTCTTTCCAGGTTTTGAGACCAGGTGGTTAGCGGATGACACAGCTGTCTCAAAACTATCTGAAAAAAGAAGAAAACGATTGCATCTAGGTCATGTGGAGGTGGAAACTACTCAGAAACTTTTACCAAAATGATTGATGATGTTACTTATCATAGTTTCATCTACTGTCACATTTTTGTAAAAGAAAGCTTCTAAGAAGAGGCTGGTCCATAATCACAAATGAGGACGTGTGTGATCGCACATGTTCCCTGAAGTTTTATTTGTTGGCCATACGGTGACAAACAGGTGAAACCCCTGCACTTTCGCATATTGGTGATCCTATCAAGATACTGACGCTCACAACCCTGTTCTGTAACGATACTGGGCTGAAGACTCAAACAATAACTTCAAGTACTGAGTTTCTAGATTACAGTCATTTCCAATTTTACAATCTCCAATTGAGGAGATGGTAGAGCAACAGCTAAGTATTTGGCTGCCAACCAAAAGGTTGGTGGTTCAAACCCACCCAGCAGCTCCACTGGAGAAAGACCTAGCCATCTGCTTCCATAATAGGTAATAGCCTCGGAAACCCTGTGGGGCAGTTCTGTTCTGTCAGATGGGGTCATTATGAACTGAAACCAACTCAATGGCACTTAGCACAACAATAATCACACCAAGAAGATACCAAATCATTTTCATTAAGTAGCCCATTTTCCAGGGACACAGAATTGTCTCATGCACAGGTAGAGTAGAGATCCATACATCGTATGCATTCTGGGCACCAAGAAAGGCTCTCATTATCTCCCCAGGGCCCTGCCACCGTTCCTGGAGCTCCAGCACCAAGCCTTCAGTGAGTGGTCACTGACGATGTAAGGCAGTTGCTCTCAGAGTGTGTTCTGGGGACCAGGGATCCCTGTCTCTCTCAGGGGATCTTCAAGGTAAAAACGATTTTTGTAACAACAGTCTCTCATTCGCTCTCATTCTTTCACAAGTATACACTAGATATTTCCAGGGGCTCTGGTGTCTAATGGGATGTACCCTTGTAAATTCTTGTATTTTCAATTTTGCTCAATTTTCATTTGTAACACAATAAATACTAATCGATCTAACCCTCTGTCCCACAAGAACAAATGCCCTTTGGGGTTTTCAATCATTTTTAAGAATGTCAAGGGTCCTAAGACCAAAAAGTTTAAGCAACTGATCTGAAGAATACACTTCAGGAATTATTTTTCAAAATTAAAATATTATGGAGTGAACTGTGTTCCCCTGAGAAAGAACAATGGCCATCCTAACCCCTGTTCTTGTGAATATAACTAGTTATGCTAATGGATTATATCTGATTACAGTGGGTCTGAAACCTAATCCCTTCTGAGCTGTGTCTTATAAAAAGAGCAGAATCAACACAGAGACACGTGGGGGAAGAGAGAAGCCATGTGAGAGCTCATCGGCAAGCAAAGGAATGCCAAGGGTTACTAGCAGACGACAAACTGAGGAGAGACGCCCACAGAAGGAGTGCACACAACTGAGCCCCAGATTTGCTCTTTCAGCCTCTAGAATGATGAGAAAAGCAGTGGCTGTGCTTTAAACCACCCACCTGCTGGGGCTTTGGTTCCCGCAGTGCTGGGCGTCCGTCTTTAACACCGTGTTTAATATGATCATTTCACTGCTACTGACAAGGAGTGTTTGCATTCTGGTTTTCTTTTTTAGTTTTTTATTTTAAGAGTTTATTTTACATTCAACATTATGTGTACATTTAGTTTCACTCCCCATTTACCATGTCCAACCCTAACCCAGTCTCCTCCCCTCCCTGCCCGGTAACCCTTCCCACGCCCCCCTTCCCCTCATAGTTATACACTCCTGTCTTTCCTGCATTGCCTCTGTGTGAATGCTGTCCCTCTGGTGCCCTGTGGCCAATTGCTCCAAGGGATGCATTTCCATAGAGCATGTGGTTGCGTCAAGCATTCTGTTTAAGTAGAGAAGACAAGTGTGGTGGTGATAGTGTCACTGAGCACCGGGACACTAGAAGAGGAAGGCAGAAAAGTGAAAACACATCCATCATAAATTTCCCCCAGGCCACCATGTGGCCCAGGGCTCATTGACCTCCCATCATCATAACAATGAAGAAATGGTCCCACACTTGAAAAAGACAGAGAGTGAGGGATTAAGTAAGACACCGTAAGAGGCCCAGCGGTACAGGTACAGGAAGACTTCTAGCATGTCCATGTTAGTTTCAGCCCACAGAACACGGTTCCTCTCATCAGAATGTTCTCGGAAAGAGAAAACCACAGCACTCCAGGTTTTCAGTCTCTAAGCAAAGACTTCGTTAGGAAACTTCACACTCTGCCCACATGACATGCACACAGAAAACACTACATCTCTGAGAAGAGATAATGCTAGAAAGGCAAAAGGAAAGAAAGGAGAAAATTCATATAAAATGGAAAAAAAAAAAAAAAGAGCTAAAAGGGAAAATAAGTGAAACAGTAAAGAGAGGAAAGGGTTAGTATTTCTTCAGTGCTCACATCACTTTGTTTTGTTTCGTTTTAATTTTTCTCCCCTGGACGCTGCCCTCCTCCAGTCACAGAAGGTTCTTTAGCTACCTCACCCAAACCTGCAGCCAGAAGCAACCCCGTACCCGTTCCCTCAGCTGTTCCGTGGGAGCCCTGCTTACGATTGTCTCAGTTTCCACAAGGACAGATCCCTGGTCATGGAGAACATCTCCAAGGATGACCCTCCAGGCATGGGGACGGGGACAGGCTGTCTCTTGGGAAACAGGGCACAGAGAGCTTTCCCAGCATCCCTCTGCGGGGACCCACCTAGCCACTAGACTGGGACCAGGCCCGCACTCACAGGCAGGTGGCTCAGAATCACAGACCAGCCCCTTCTAACCCTGCCCTTACAAACAGTCACTGGACGGCACCAGGTGAAAATGGAGACATGATGATGAGGCCCACAGGCCCTGCCTCACCCCCACTGCTGCCTCAGCTGCTTGGAGCACCTGGTCCTCCACAGGTGGAGATGAGGCATCATGAAGTGACTCTGAACACAGCCACCAGGCAGACATCACACCAACAAGCAGCCCCACTAGCCCAGCATACTTGGAATTGGAAAGCCATCCACTTAAAACAGGACCAAACATGTGAGTGAAGACAGAAGGAAAGGTTTGAGTCTACTTTGATCTTAAATATAGAAATGATAAAAGTAGTCTATTTTATGTGTTTATTTAACCATGCATTAACTATTAGAATAAGGGTAATGTAAACCATCACCTTCATGTGATTTTTTACTGCAGGACCCTATGGCCAACTCCTCTTTACTGTGCGCTTGGTTCTTCTTGCATAATTATTGTGGTGGTCATGTTTTTGTGTCAACTTGGCTGGGCCTGGTTGAGTGGCTGGGCAGCTGGTGGTAGTTAATCCCCATGAGGAGACTGGCAATCAACTCCATGGTGGGATCTACCACAAGCAGCTGAGTAGCTGCCTTTGGGAATGTGATCTGCTTCTTGTATATAAGGAGAAGCTTTGAGGATGGTCTCTAGCCTATGGCATGCTTGGACCCTGCATGGAGCCATGTCGTTGCTCAGTAGCCTGCCATGCTCTGCTGACCTTGGGACTTACAATGGACTTAAGTTAATGGCCTGCTGTGTGGTTTGGTAACATTGGAACTGTGCCTTTTTACTTGTCAACCTCGGGGCTTCTCAGCCTCAGAAGCCAGCAACTGTCTGAGTGAAGAAATGCCTTCAGCTCCAGAGGGCCGGGAGCAGGAGGCAAAGCTGGGCCCAAAGGTTGAGGGACTTGGACCCAGCCCCTAGAGCCTGGCACTTGAACTTGGACTTAAAGCCTCCAAATTCTAAGAATAAACTTCTGTTTGTTAAGGCCATCCCACTATCCCACTTGTGGTATATTCCTGTCAGACAGGCACTAGGTAATCAAAACAATTAATTATTTTTGAGAATTATCTCTGTGTGTTCCACTACTTCTTCCAAGGACCAGAGAGAGCTTGGGCCTCGGTAATTCCTGACATGGATGAAAGGCCCTTGCCTGTCACCCTTGCCCCTCTCATCGTCTGCCTCTTGCCATCCTCATGGTTAAAGGCCCTGCACACAGTTTGAACAACTCTGAAGCATCATTCATCAACTCCATGAAACCCCAGGTTTTCTTACTCTAAGCTTCATAAAGGTGGACCTCTATACAGAACTTACGTACCACTCTAACCTCAGTAACCGTTTTACCCTAGAGTGGGGCTTGGTGTATATAGAAAATGCAATCAATTTTTGTTGTTGTTGTTGTTGTTTTAATAAGAAAATAATTTCTAATTTCACTTTGCCACCAATGTGCAAGGTGTTTCCACAGGTTTTTGGGTCTTTGTGCCATGATATTTCTAATATTCAGACATTTGTTTAAAATTAGATTTGCAATTTCCAAATGCATTAATGGCTCTAGGCAATGGTTATCGATGTCTACCAATTCATAGGACAGCCTGCACAAGGCTACCTGGGAGAAAGAAGCCATGCCAGAAAATCAATCCTGACTCTGATCCAGCTTCTCTATCACAATGCCAGCCACAGTAAGTTGTTCAATAAATTTTGTGCAATAAATAGATGAAAAACCATCTCTGATACCTAGAAAACCCAAGAGATTCAATCAAAAAACTACTGGAACTAATTGAGGGATTTAGCAACGTCGCACCAAAAATCAGTTGGATTCCTCTACACCAGCAAAGAGATT